AATATACATTTTGGAAACAATCCTACGTATAGTTTAGGTGCTAGAGGTCGAAGGGCAGATAGACAGCCGGACGGACGGACGTTTTGAAAAATGCCACTTTTTAGGTATCAGGGGACCGCAAAATGTGTATCTCCGTTGAAATCTCGGAATAGATTTTCCAGAGCATCATATAACATTCCCTATACTACGTCTATTACTCCTTATATACGTACGTATACGGGAAAGTAAAAACAGGTTAGACATTATGATTTAAATCATTTTGGTCGAAAAAGTTCATTGAATTTATTGTCCGACACAAAGTGGTCTGCTCGATCTGATGCTGTTTCTTGCTTTACGAAGTTTTGGTCGGAAAGGGTATGCCCGGATAAGATGGTAAAAAGTTCCCCGCAACCAAATGATGTATGAGTTGTTACATTATGACACAAACACAAAAATAATATTTTTGAAAGGTGTTTTAGTCCGAGGCCCAACACACACACCCCTCGAGACAAAATCGTGTTTTTTAATTTTATCCGTCAACTTAACACTATTTTTATTCTTCTTTTTTTCTTTTTATGAATGTCTATAGTCATAAATTAAAAACAGTTTCTCCTGCAATTTCAGACATTCATATTTATTTATACAAATTCATCATGTGATTAATTTTACTACCTCCTAGTTTACGAAACGTTTCGGCTACACTTTATAGCCGTCTTCAGACATCTGGTTCCAAAAATGCACAATTAAAAAAAACATTTTTGAAACGGAAGGTGTCTGAAGATAGCTATAATGCCTAGCCGAAACGTTGTGCATACTAAAGTGTAGAAGAATTAATCACATGATGTATATGTATAAGTAAATCTGAATTTCAGAAATTTGAAGAGGGCCTGCTTGTTTTTAATTTAACATTTTTTTATCTGATTGAAAACAATGGAAAATAACAAAATAATTTGTACTATCAGTACAACATTTTCAATATTTTCTCAGAGGCAAATACAAACGCAATTTTTTTTTCAAAAACAAAGAACCAAAAAATAGTTTTACTGTGTCTGAAAACTCTGGAATATGCTCGAAAAAAAAGGAAAAGTTTCTCTCAGAAATCACAAATTGTGAATTTTTTCCGGATTTTTGGGCTCCTGGGCTGGAGTTGTAAAAATAAAAACATTTTATAATTTTCCCGCCTTTAAACCACCATGACTTTAAAAGTACTTTGAAAATGACTGCAATACTTCTGTGCATTTATTCAAATGTGTTTATTATACATCTGAATACATTGTTATACCACCCAGTAATATTTTGATTTTGGAACGTAGTTACAAATTACCAAGTTTGTAAAGTTTTTTAATCATGTGTATATCATACGCTGAGGAAAACGATAGTTTTTGTCATTCTATGAAAAGCCATTCGTCCGTAGGTGAAGGATAAGTGAGGGACATGTGGGAAATGAAAGGGATCAGGTTGGACCCAGTTTTCATAAAAACTGTTTTACTGTGTCTTTGAACACCAGCCAAGACATGAAAAAAATTTAAAACTTTTTCTCAAACCACCTCTTGTGAATTTTTTTCAATGTTTTTAAATGCTGTTCCATAGTTTAAAAAAACTAATACATACTTGGATGTCCGGTAGACGCCGTGTTCTAGGCAGGAGGAAGGACACAGAATGGCGGCTGAAACGTCGATACCTGTGCCTAGGACGCGGCGTCTCCGGACAGACAAGTAGTAACGACTCCGGCCGCGGACGCCTACGCTCTCACATCTGTTGCTGTTTTTCTGACCAAAGTATTTACTCTTGTATACGTATAAATAAGTATATACAATCCATACGCGTGCGAAAACTCTGCACTGTGTAAATAATAATTGTATGAAAACTGAAAATTAATTTAATGTAAAGTACGTAAAATTTTGATTTAAAAGGGACTACAAAGCTTTCGGGAGTTAATGTCTGCTGCGAAAAGGTGCTGCTGCTGTTACTAATGCTGCTATTACGAAACTACAAAAGTAGCACCTAACTGCTGCGACCCCTCCCTCTAAATGTGGTTTACAACATTATAAACCGGGTACTGTACAAGAGTAACCATTCCAGTAATGGTAAGCGTTGAGACTAAATGCACAGATAGACCCTCTAATTTTATCGTGAAAGATAATTTCTGTATTTTCCTTCATTTTAATTTTACTTTGATTTCGGCTTCGGCTCTTTTCTGTCCACCAATGCTATGAAGTGGGGGCAACCAATAAACTCAATATTAAAAATAGTAAAAGAAATATCAAAAGAGTCGTATTTTGTAAAATACTCTCTAGGAATATAACCCGGGTCCAACCTGTCCCCCTTCATTTTCCGATCCCCATCTATCCTTCACCTGCACCCTAACTGTCCCTCTTCATTTCCCCATTAGTCATCTACCCGTCACCCCCCCCCAAAAAAACACGACTTCTGTCAGAATTACCTGACTTCAAAAATGTCATGTTCCCACAGGTCACGCAAACCTGGTTTAAAAGGCCCAGGACCCATCGCTTCCAAGTTATTCGCGATTATAATATGTGTTGCAATAATCTTTTGGTTTTGTACTTCATAATCTGCAAACTTCTATTGTTTCTTCTGGAATCTGTTCGATGTAGGACTGGGGTGTAATTTTTTTATCCACTAATATCTCACTTAGAATGTTTTGTGTCGATGGTTACTTATAAACTGCCAAAACTATCGTTTTTTGTTAGTGTATGAAACACTTACACGAAGGATTATAAAATTGTAAAAACATGATACGTCGTAACTACATTCCGAGGTCAAAATATTACTGCGTGCTACAATGCTTACAAATGTATACTAAACACTAAAATAAATGCACAGAACTGTGGCAGTCATTTTCAAAGTATATTTAAAGTCAATGTGACTAAAAGCTGGGCAATAATAAATATGCTTTTTCCTTTTTTGTTATTTTTTCAAAAATATTTCTTTGCGTTTGAATTCGGCGCTAAGAAAATTTCGAAAAATGTTTTTTCCTGATAGTACAAATTTTCTTACTTTTCATATTTCTCAATCAGATAAAATAGTGGTAAATAGAGTTCTGAGAACCACAAACAACGAAAAAATGTTATGAAGATGAATGTGATAGAAAAATGTAGAAAATCTGAACCATATGGCGAATCAATTGAACATATTATGGCGGGCTAGCCGGCTTTATCACACAACGCCTAACTTGGACGACACAACCCACTCGCAAAATTGATAAATCAAGAACTTGCTGTTAATTACGGATTGCTTGACTCTTCTACACCATATTACAAATATTGTCCAGCCCCTGTATTAAAACAAAGAACCATGTGATGTATTTAGATTTATGTAGTTCAGTTAAAAATGTATGTGACGTATGGGGAAGAAGATCATCTGCGCACGTTTTGCTGAGTTCCAGAATCCATTCCCATGATTTTAACTATAAATAGTTGAAAGATGAGTAAAAGTTAAATATTAAATAAATAAATAAATAAATAAATAAATAAATAAATAAATAAATAAATAAATAAATAAAT